ATTCAAGAAATGCGCACTCGAGATGAGATCCGACAGAAGGAGGTTGAGAAACTTCTTCGCCGAGAAGAGATCCGGAAAAAAGAGCATGCAGACATGATGGATATGATGAATAAGTTTACACAATCTCAACAGTCTCCGCCGACCCCGCCACAGTAGATTTGATATAGTGTATTTATGAACTTGCGTCATCAATCAAATTTATATATGTATATTATTTCGTCGGGATAATCATATTAGGTATTTATGACATATTTGTGTATTGTATATTTGTATTTAATTTACATGATCTTTATATTTTAGATATAAGGTTTTTTTTTAAAATCTAGCGGATAGTCTAACGGATTTCCGATGGAAAATCCGTCAGTAAACATTTTCCGTCCACTAAAAATAAAAAAACATTTTCATATTTTAAATTAGAAAAAAAAAAGTTTTAAATATAATTACTGACGGAATTTCCGTCGGAAAAATGTTATTTTTATTTTTGAAATAAAAACTGGTTATTGTTTTGGAAGAAAATGGAAAAAGTTTACCGACGGATTTCCGACGGAATTTCCGTCGGTAACTCTAATCTCATTTTATATTCCTTCTAATTAACCCGGGTAACGGATAACATATTATAAAAATTGTTCGACGGATTTCTGGCGGATTTTTTCATCGGAAAATACAAATCCGTCAGAAATTCCGTCAGAATTGCATTTGACGGCGGAGATTTTTCCGACGGCAAAAACCAGATTTTTTAGTAGTGAAATTAAGAAGCAGATTAATTTGTTCAGCTCTTGCATAAACTCTTTTTGTCTTTCTCATTTATACTAATATTTCTAAAGAAACTTATCACTGCTCACCGATTCTTTTCTTTTCTTTACTGGATAAACATATTTCATCTTATTCTCCATTGATGACTAAGGATTTGTGGGCCAAATCCTCCATTCCTGGTGTAGGAGGTCATACCAGATAGATAGATATATATATATATATATATATACATATATATATATATATATATATATACATGGGCTGGTTCAAATACTAACCAAGATTATCGTGTTAACTTTGTTAACCGATCTTGGTCGTTGATTTGAACATCC